TCTTTCCCACTGTATCTCAGATTGAATCAAGCTGTGTTACTCAGTCAGAGGTATCCCCTCCAGATAGCATAAGGGCACTCAACCACAGCCATGGCTACCTCAATAGCATTCCTCTGCAAAGTACCCATAAGAGGCATTTGCGCAGCTGCTACATGGTCTTCTGACCATACGTATGCAAAGCACTATGCACTTACACAGGGACCTCTCTCCAACTTGAAACTAGCTAAGGCTTTCTTTCCACCGCTTTTCTGCCAGATCCGAAGTTCCTACCTCCCTAAACAGAAATAGCTTTGTAGTCACTTACTGTGGAGCACCCATGGGGGTATCTCTTGAAGAAGAGATTACCTCGATAGTAACTGATGTTCTTCAAGATGAGTGTTCCCATGGGTGCTCCACAACCCTCCCTTCCTCCCCTATACTTAGGGATTTTGGCCTTCTCATGGCATCATTCCGGAGTAGAGAAGGAACTGAATAGTGGGAGGGGAGGGGCTCATACATGCACGATGACTGCAACCTGAGAGCATGCGGCTGCAGGCATGTGCATGTGCGGCCCCAGGGACACTGCTCTGAAATCTCTGATCTGAGGGGTGGTGGCAGCACACCAACCTAATGTGAAGCACCCATGGGGACACTCATCTTGAAAACATCAGTTACTATCGAGGTGAGTAACCTCCTCTTCTTTCCTAAGTGGAGTATTTTGTATTTTTCCTTATTAAACTTTATCCTATTTGCCTTATTCTCTAGTTTGTCCAGATCATTTTGAATTTTGACCTAATCCTTCAGAGCACTTGCCACCCCTTCCAGCTTGGTATCCTCTTCAAACTTAATAAGTTTACGGTCTATGCCATGATCTAAATCGTTGATGAAGATATTGAACAGAACCAGTCCCAGAACAGACCCCTGCAGAACCCCTTTCTATGCCCTTCCAGCATGACTCTGAATCATTAAGAACCACTCTCTCAGAGAGGTTATTTTTGTAGAGTGGTGTAAGATCATGTCTACACTTTGTGGTAGATCAGCACTGGTGCAATGGATGCAGTGGATATCGATTAAGGAAATCTGGTGAAGATGCGCTAAAACAATATATATGGAAGACATACTGCAGATAAGTGAAAAATATCTTTTGGTAAAGTAATCCATTAATTTCTTAAATACATTCTGTAGAAGTTCTAGGAAAGTGTCTTAGAATCATAGAATAATAGGACTGGAAGGGACCTCGAGAGGTCATCGAGTCCAGCCCCCCGCCCTCAAGGCAGGACCAAGCTCTGTCTACACCATCCCTGACAGATGTCTATCTAACCTGTTCTTAAATATCTCCAGAGAGGGAGATTCCACCACCTCCCTTGGCAATTTATTCCAATATTTGACCACCCTGACAGTTAGGAATTTTTTCCTAATGTCCAATCTAAACCTCCCCTGCTGCACTTTAAGCCCATTACTCCATGTCCTGTCCTCAGAAACCAAGAGGAACAAATTTTCACCTTCCTCCTTGTGACACCCTTTTAGATATTTGAAAACCACTATCATGTCCCCCCTTAATCTTCTTTTTTCCAAACTAAACAAGCCCAGTTCATGAAGCCTGGCTTCATAGGCTTCTCTAGACCTTTAATCATTCTTGTCACTCTTCTCTGTACCCTTTCCAATTTCTCCACATCTTTCTTGAAATGTGGCGCCCAGAACTGGACACAGTACTCCAGCTGAGGCCTAACTAGTGCAGAGTAGAGCGGCAGAATAACTTCACGAGTTTTGCTTACAACACACCTGTTAATACAACCTAGAATCATATTTGCTTTTTTGGCAACAGCATCACACTGTTGACTCATATTCAACTTGTGGTCCACTATGACCCCTAGATCCCTTTCCGCCATGCTCCTTCCTAGACAGTCGCTTCCCATCTTGTATGTATGGAACTGATTGTTCCTTCCTAAGTGGAGCACTCTGCATTTCTCCTTATTAAACCTCATCCTGTTTACCTCCGACCATTTCTCTAACTTGCTAAGGTCATTTTGAATTATGTCCCTATCCTCCAAAGAAGTTGCAACCCCACCCAGTTTGGTATCATCTGCAAACTTAATAAGAGTACTCTCTATCCCAATATCTACATCATTGATGAAGATATTGAACAGTACGGGTCCCAAAACAGACCCTTGAGGAACTCCACTTGTTATCCCTTTCCAGCAGGATTTAGAACCGTTAACAACAACTCTCTGACTACGGTTATCCAGCCAATTATGCACCCACCTTATCGTGGCCCTATCTAAGTTATATTTGCCTAGTTTATCAATAAGAATATCATGCGAGACCGTATCAAATGCCTTACTAAAGTCTAGGTATATGACATCCACCGCTTCTCCCTTATCCACAAGGCTCGTTATAAAATGTTTCCTATTATGGCTGTTGAGAAGTTTTCTAGAGAGAATACACTTGGTGCAATATGAATTTAATGAAGAGTTATTAAAGATAGCCTATAAATATTTTTCCTGTATTTTGGGATGATTTTAAGTATTTTCCTCTTTCTGCTTTTTGTTTTTGGTATTAGACCTATTTTTATGGATACAGATTGCGATGATATTTGCCAGACAAATCAAAGTGTATGCTATTTATTTTATCCATTTACTGATCCAGACTATGTTAATGTGACAGAGGAAGAAGAAAAAATGGATTTTCACTCTATACAAGATATAAAATCAGGTAACTTGATGTACATATCAATAGTTTATCTTCATTTCTTGGATCTTCCTAGACAAAAACTACGTTAAGCTGGAGTCAGTGTTGAGAGAACATATTGATAAGTTCCTTAAGGCTAAAAAAATTACTAGGATGTTGTTATGGATACAGTTAAAAGAAACCCACACATGAGAAGATAAGAAATAGAGCTAGTTGGAAAATCTTTGACCGAACCATTTTCTATTAGAATATGTAATTTGGTTGAAATTGAAATGCTTTGCAAAATCAAGTCCATTCTGCCAAAATTCAAATATGGAGAAAAACGAGGAAAAGTCCTGACACCATTGAAACATCACTTTTCAACATTTTTGGAAGAAAACATTTTGGTTTCTCATTTTGAACTTACTTTGTTTTGAATTTTTAACTTTTGTATTGTATGATGTACAGTATATAAATCCTAACAAAACATTGTCAAAAAAAGAAACATTTAGATTTATCTGAAATTATTTTTATTTCGCATTTTGTTTCAATTCAGAATGAAGCCAAACTTTTTAAAAATATCAAAATCTTTTCTGAAATGGCAATTCAATCCTCCACTGAGCTGTAGTGAGAGTAAAGCACTTCTAGCAAATACTGTGCCTGTACTTTAATTATAGTGTGTAAAAGTAATCACTAATCATTGTGTTTTGGCTGGGCAATTTATGTGCAGTCACATTTTGTTGATAGAATAATGGATTTTATAAGTTTACAAATGTCCTGACTATCAGAGGGAACTGTTAATGCTCACTATCTCTGAAAATCCAACTTTCATCTTTTTAAAGACAACCCAATGACAAAATGTGCTATTTAAGACTGGAACTGCTTTTCCAAAACCAACTTCCTTTTGTCCAGTTCAGTCTTTGGCATGGCTACACACAGTCAATAAATGCCCAGCAGCCACAGGTTTTTGATTGTTTTTTACTATTTAAACAAACTTAATAGTACTCAAAGAGAGTTGCAGGAACATCAGCCTCCAAATAGGCTGCTGATAATTTTGATCCTTGCAGAATGGATCAAGGCAAGCTGTGGGCCAGATTCGACTGGCAGGCCATAGGTTCCCCATCCCATTAGATTATGTTTACATCATTGGTTAGTATTTTTATACCAGGTTTGGGCAGAGATTGTTTTTTATCTTGTTAGTTTTCATTCATCATATAACTAGAGTTTTCATCTCTAAATGTTTGGTTGTTCAATTAAAGACGGAAATCCATAATTTAAGACAAGAAAAGCCATTACACAAGTTACCTACAGAAGATAAGTACTAAAAGAAAAATTAAATGTACTATAATAAAATGCCATTTTCCTAGAAATCAGTTTTTTTATCTCACTTTACAGTCTATACAGACACGAGAAAAAATATTACCTGCATTTATTATTACAATGACTATTGTGTTCGTAGATGGACTGCAAGAAAAGTTACCTATCTTAAAGAAACAAAATATGCTCAGGTTAATATTCAGTAAGTATCTAATGCCTTTATTATAAGAATGCTTCGGAGTAATTGAATTCTAAACTAACTGTATGTATTCAATTTTCAGTAACAGTATTTGGTGTTAATACACACATCACATTTCTAGACTACTATGAAACATTAACTAATACCCCTCAACACACCTTGAAAGTAAATTGGCAAATATTATTCTCATTCTCAACAGGCAAACACGCAGAAGGATAAAATGGCTTGACAAGAACACAGATTGAATCAATGTCAAAGATAAATTTGGAATTCAGAACAATCTAATTCTTAGCACTTTGCACAACTAATATAACAGCGCTGTCTCTTTTTCCCTCTGCAGTTTTTATTCTGATCAGTTTGTTGATATCATGCAATATGTTTCCATGCCCTAACTATGTGTTCTAACTGAAATTAAGGTTGTTGAGAAAAGATCATCAACATGTTGATAATTAATGTTGATAAATATAAAGGAATGCACATTGAAAAAAATAATCCCAACTATACATATAATATGATGGTGACTAATCTAGAAGAGAGACTTGGAGTGATTGTGGATAGTTTTCTGAAAACATCCACTCTGTGCAGCGACAGTGAAAAAAGCAAACAGAATGCTAGGAATAATTAAAAAAGGGATATAAAATAAGACCAAGAACATCTTATTACCTCTGTATAAAACCATGGTGTGCCCAATTCTTGAATATTGTGTGCAGACGTAGTCGCCTCATCTCAAAAAAGATATACAGGCAGTCCCCGGGTTACATGGATCCGACTTACATCGGATCGCTACTTACAAACGGGGTGAGGCAACCCTGCACTAGCTTCTTCCCCCCAGCAGACCAGGGAGACGCGAAGCTAGCCCCCCCCTCCAGCAGACCAGGGAGACGGGGAGCGGCTTTTCTCAGCAGACACCTTAGCTTGAGAATAAAGGACTGAGGGAAGTGAGGTGTGGGAGAATAAAACTGAGCTCTGGAGAAATGTTTGGCTAGAGTTTCCCCTACAATATGTACCAGTTCTGACTTGCATACAAATTCAACTTAAGAACAAACCTACAGTCCCTATCTTGTACGTAACCCGGGGACTGCCTGTATTGGCATTGGAAAAGGTTCAGAAAAGGGCAATTACAATTATTTGGGGTTTGGAACAGGGCCCATATGAAGAGAGATTAAAAAGACTTCGACTTTTCAGCTTAGAAAAGAGTATACTAAGGGGGGATATGATAGAGGTCTATAGCATCATGACTGGTATGGGAAAAAGTGAATAAGGAAAAGTTATTTACTTGTTCCCATAATATGAGAACTAGCTTGTCACGAAATGAAATGGATACATAGCAGGTTTAAAACAAACAAAAGGAAATTTATCTTCACTCATCGCTCAGTCAACCTGTGGGACTCTTTGCCAGAGGATGTTATGAAGACCAGGAGTTTAACAGGGTTCAAAAAAGAACTAGATAAATTCATGGAGGTTAGATCAGGATGGATAGGAATAGTGTCCCTAGCCTCTGTTTGTCAAAGGTTGGAAATGGATGACAGAAGAGGGATCACTTGATGATTACCTGTTCTGTTCTTTCCATCTGGGGAGCCTGGCATTGTCCACTGTTGGAAAACAGGTTACTGGGCTAGATGGACTTTTGGTCTGTCACAGTATGGCCGTTCTTCTGTTCTTAACATATCCAATGTAAATGCAGATTTTGGGTAGATTGATGGACAAAACTGCCAATATCAAGGATGAATGCGCAGTACAAATATAAATCCCCTAGTAGTCAGTTTTATACTTGTTTTGGTAAATTTGCAATGATGGCTAACGTTTTATGTTAAACTAATACAAATTATTAGAAAATTAAATACAGTAGATTTAATTCTGCCTTCAGATATGCACATGTAACTCCTTTTGTCTTCAATGGTAGTTACATTGGTGTAGCAAACACCAGTTTATGCTATTAATATTGAAGTCTTTAGAAATAAAAAAACTGTGGAATTAACAGGAAAAACAAAATAATGGGTTCGTCTATTAAGCATCATCTATTAAGATTACCCAACACTTCACATAATGACTTAATTTCGGTTTGACAAATCTTAACCAAAGTTTAACCTAAAATTTTGTGTTGGTTGTGTGCCCTGGACTGACCACTATTATTTTATTTTTTATGTAAATTTTCAACTAAAATGTTACATCCATTTCTGAAAGCTAGGTTAGGAAAAATAAATTGTTTTGCAATTTTTAAAAAAAATCTAGTAACTTTTTCTTTGAGATGTTCTAATAGTCCCATGCTTTGGACAGGGCACAAAATTTGGCAAAAGGATGATCATTGTATTAGTGATGTGACTTTTTGCTGTTTCTGTGGAAAAAAATTTGACCAAATTATAAGGATTTGAAAAATCTCAGTTCACACAGTCTCAACGGACATGTTGCAGGTTAGCAGATAAAATCTCTAAATATTCCATCCTCACCAAATATGCTGCATCCTCTCACAATATTTGTTGTTTACCAGACTGCACCATCCCCACAGAGTGACTGAGTATGGATGTTTCATCAACTTACTTTGTTACTGAATTTAAGATTGCCAGCTTTCTAATAGCAGAAAATCGAACACTCTTGCCCTACCAGAGGGACATGCCAGCCACTTCCCTGATGCCTTGTGGAACTGGATAGGGAGCCTGCCTGCCCTGGTGTGCCTCCAACTGGACTTTTAAGAGCCAGACACCTGGCAAACTTAACTGGGCGGTGCCTGTGTTACCTTCAGACAATGAAGCAACTTTCTTCCACCCAGTAGTGCAAAGCTGGCCATGTAATTGCTGCTCCTGTCTATTCTTGGTCAGGGTGGGGTTGGACATCAGAATGAAGGGCAGTGAGCCTTTCTCTTCTGAGTTCTTAGTGACTCCCTTGCTGATACCTGGGCAGCATAGAGAATTTAAGCTGCTTCATTTCAGTGCAGAGGGGATAAGAGCTGGACCTGGCTGGAGGGAAAGGAGTAGGTAGGACAAGACCCTAATCTGGTCAGAAGGAACTGGTGGAGGTGGTGGGGAAGACTGGTACTGGCTGGGTAAGATAACTGGGACTGGGAGACAGAAAGTGGGTAGAATGAGAGCTAATGAGACATTGTCGTTGATGAAGAAAAATGTTTATGGTCAGATGAAATAAAAGGGATTTTTTTTAGTCTTGTCTCACACCCCATCTTTGATGACAGGTTATGCTGGAATGGAAGAAACTCTTTCAAAAAGTATCTCTGTTTCCTATTCTCATGGTATGTCTTTTCACTGGTAGTCTGGCTTGTCTTTTTCCACATTTGAAACATACATGGCAATTCATTGCTTTTTCCCTTTTTCTTAATAGTTAACAGCTTTTCAGGTTCTAAAAACTTGAAAAACAAGATCCAACAGTATGGATTTTCAGGGGCATGCATTGAGAGAATGGCATTTGTTGGGTTAAGCTTCATTTAAGAGAAGAACATGTATGGATTTTAGTGGATATTTGTGTTTAAAGTATGATTTCTAATTGAATCTAATATTGTATGAAGTGTTATGGTATTGGTCCCAGGAAATTAGAGAGACGAGATGAGTGAGGTAGTATTTTTGTTGAGCCAACTTCTGTTGTTGAGTAAAACAAGCTTTTGAGTCCACACAGAGCAGTTATTCTCAAAATCTTATCTCTCACCAACACAAGTTGATCCAATAAAAAATATTACCTTACTCACCTTGTCTCTATAGTTAAAACTAAGCCCATTAACTCTTTTAGCTGTCTTTGATTTAAAAAAAAAGTTTGAAAATTAACTGTTTTTGTTTTTGTTATGACAGGGATCAAAATTTGATGGATGCATTTCAAGAAGATACCTGTCAAAGTAGCAATGGATCATGTTCATTTTTCCCTCCATATACTCCAGTAGCTGAAGACTATTGTTGTCAGGTGAAAGCTGAAAATGTCTTGGGTGTTGGTATATCTGATTGCATTCCTATCAACACAAATACTATAGGTAACTTATTTTGTAAAATACTTAAAGATTAAAATAATACATAACAAAAAATCAAATAAAACAATGTTGATATTTAATTATATAAAATAACTTTCTTACAAAATTAAGAAAAAGCATACCAAAAATAGAATACCAAATTGAGGATACAGCATACTTTTTAGACTAGGATTATATACAAGAAGTATCTCAAAAGGCTCCAGCTTTTTCTCTTTGGTTTTACTTTTACCATTAAAAAATAAGTACATTAATATGAAGTATGAGAACTCTATTTTATAGAGTATCTGCAAATCCACTTTATATCCATGGATCATTTTTATGGATTGGTTGCGGATACAAATTTTGTGTCCATCCAGGGCTCTCTGGATTATTCAGTAGGGAATCAAAGCAGCTGTGTTCTTGAATTAATAGCAAGAATATTTTATTTAAAGAAGAAACAAATCCTCCCCACGTGCCTTTCAACCAAAAACCAGAATTAAACCTTATTGTTTGAACATTTGCATAGTTTTATTAATGAAAGTACATTACCTTCCTGTTCCCTCTTAAAGTGTAATATATACTGAAAGTAACATTTTAATGTAAAATATATTTATACATTTGAAAAGATTAGCATATTGGCAAAAACGGATACATGCAAGATTTGTCAATCTGACTCTTACTGTATTGCCTACATGGCCACCTCAACCTGTTACCTTGGTAAGGTCTAAGTGTCTCTAGTCCAGTGTTTCCCAAGTGGTGTTCTGACAAACACCGGGGTTCCGTGAAGTAAAAATAAGAGTTCCGCGTGAAAATTCCATTACAATAACATTTTATTATTAAAAAAAATTGTTTTTTTAAATATGTGCGATTAAACTAAATGTTGATCTCAGGACCTTGTTTAGCATTTGTTTGTTATTATCCTTACTTATTTGTGGTCTACTTTTTCAGCTCCATATATTAGACTTTTGTTAGGGGTTCCACAAATTTTTTTCAAGTTTAAAAGGTTTCTGTGGCCAAATAAAATTGGGAAGCACTGCTCTAGCCTAAAAGTCTCCTGAACAGAAACCATCAGTTGTGTCAAATAGCTCTGTGGCTCTTGGATGTTTAGACTTGTCCAGTGAGAGCTCATCAACTGTTCTAGCATTTGTACGTCTCTCATTGAAAGAGGTTTTTTATTATTGTTGTGCTTCCTTGCCTTTTCATATCAATTCTTCCAGAATACTGCAACAGAACAGTGTTGAAAAACTTTGCCTTCATTAGGGCATTGCCAATGTGTGATTAAAAGCTCTTCTAATGTTGTACACATAATGCAATACATTAATTTACCTCAATATTTAAACTAATGGCCAGGAGAATTAGTATGAATCACTGAATTTTTATGAATTAGTAAATAAAGGTCAGATACTTCAACCGCCAGGCTTATTAAGCAGCACTTTTACTTAAATTGGATTATTTGAAGTGCTCTTCAGTCTCCAAAAGAATTTTAGGATTTGGCTCCAAGTAAACAGGGAGCTTTATCTTTTTCCCAGAATCCCTACATTGTGCATTCCACTGTGCCATTCTTCTAGTTAATTATTTAAAATAAATAAATCCATTATATGTATCATGCAAAACCAAGCATCCATTACCTTATTTTGTGTACCTCTTCCTCCCTCCATCTTATCTGATTCCACTTCTTCCTCTATTATGCTTTTGCCATAGCTTAGCAAGATTAGAATCTGAATAGGATGGAGTCCACATTTTTATATCTACATAAAGACTAGTGACAATTACAGTTCAGTCTTATTCATGTGAAAACTTTGCCTGTGTAATAAATCTACTGAGGGGAAAAAAGTACAACCTCCTCATTGGATACTTCTCAGCTGTAACACCCACAATTATATCAGCAGCATCAACTCTTTTCTCTTTTCTTCTCTCAATGCTTGTCTGTTCCATAACAGTTCTGCCAGTCCTTCCCTCAAAATTCTGTCACCCTTGAACCATCTTCTCGCTGAGTTCTCCCTTAGTCCTTGAGCTAGGACTCAGCTGCATCTCTGTTCTTTTCTCTGTCCCCTGCCTTTGAGAGGAGAATGTGGTGGTCACATTACAAATAGAAACAATAATTCAATACATTTACATATGAAAGAAAATTTCACATCTGTGTGCAAGTTAGTCTATAAACAATATATACAACTGTGTATGTAATCCCTTCCAATATATAGTTTTTCATAATTAGTTGGAATATGTGTAATATGCATTGATATGTGCAAATTTGTTACTTTATTATTCTAACAAAGTAAGTTGTAACTCTTCCTAGAATTTACATATTCAAGCTATTGTGGACTTTTATTTATAGAATAAGTTGTAGAATGATTTTGTTAAAAGTATGAGAACTTTATTTTTTTCTTCCTCAATTTTAGTGAAAACCAAGCCTCCTAAGATAGTTTCAGTAGAAACAATTGCTGGTGTGAAGCAGTTGCTTAACATAACCTGGGACAAACCTGATCCAACATCATTTGATTTAAATTGCCGGCTTCGATACCGAAAAACAAATTCAAACAATTCAGTAAGTTACATCATTATTTTCAGAATATTAGATCATTTGTCACTAACATAAATGATGATCCCTTCAAAAAGTGGCAACAAAAGGCAAAAACGTAAGATCAGTAATATTAACTAATATTTATTCATTTGTAATATAAGCATGCATGCATATTTGAACACAGTTTGACCCTCTCTAACTGGCACACTTTGGTCTGGCAACATCCTGGGTCTGGCATGATTTTAGTTAACCAGATGTCCACTCATCATCGGTGTGGCCAAGTTTCTTGAAGTCCAATAAAGTCTGACAGTAACCAGTCCTAGCTCTCAGTGTTCTGTGCTGTTGCTTAGCTCTAGTTTACCCCTAAATGTCTCCTAAGAGCCCAGCAAGCAGTGGAAGTGTTGCTAATGCTGCTAGACAAAACCGACCTCCTGTCATCTGGCAAATTCTCTGGTACAGCACCAGTCAAATCCCAAAGGTGCCAGACTAGAGATGTTCAAGCTGTGTAAGAAAATAGAGATGGATAAGACCTTCTGGTTAATTGTCAAGAGTGAATTTTTCTTGCCTTTCTGTCTGTTTCAGTGCCCACCCTACTCCTTACTTGTCTTAGCATAATTTCAATGAAGGTCCCCCCAGGGTAACCAGTCAAGCCAACAATCAAACATGTTTTTCTTCCTGTTATTTTTTGGCAAATACAATACAGCCAGTCCCCAAGTTACGAATGGGTTATGGACCAAATACCTGGCCGTAACTCGAATGTTCATAAGTCGGACCCCATTGAGTTACATTGTGACCATGTTGTTCGTAAGCGCGGGTCGCGTTCGTAACTTGGGGACCATCTTTATGACCATTTAATGGGAGGTTTGGTCGTAAATGCGAACGGTCATAAATCGACCATTCGTAACTTGGGCACCGGCTATAGTTGTGTTCAGTTTAGATTAGAACAGAAGTAGGAGACATTTCTATTACAGCCTGGCTCCTGACTGAAAGAGAAATGTGTAAGCAGTGTGTTCTAGAACAGTGGTTCCCAACCTTTTTTTATACCATGGACCGGAAAACTCATTCAAAAACTGTTGGTAGATGAGCACTGAAATATTTGCATACTCATTATTGTATTTGCATATATTTATATTCACTATGGTGATTTTAAGAGGTCACATATTATTATACATTGCATCTGTACACACACAATGCATGTAATTGTAATGGTAGCCCATGGTGTAGGTGGCAAATCAAAGGAGGGGGAACATGTTGGTTAACACCACAGAGTCCTCCAGGTCTGACATTCTAATGAAAATAAACAGCACAAAAAAATCCCTTTCTATTAATAAGATCCTTTAAAGATTTTTTAACTTAATCTGATTTGTGTGCGTGTGTAGCAAGTCCTCTTTAAGAAGTCATTTGTTAGGTATGTAACCAAACAAACATGTTTCCAATCCAAGAGACATTGATAGGTCACTGGAAAGATAACAGGGCCAGGTAGAATAATGTCAGTCCAGCCCTAATCATCTCACCGGAGGTCGCGACCAGAAATAAATCATGTTAATTGTTATACTGTATCTCTGCAAGGTTGGAGTTTGAAGGTGTGGATGAGAGGTTTGGTTCACTGATAACAATACCTCAGAAGGAACCCAGAATATTTTTTTTCTTCTACCATAAATGAGTATTTTCCCAGAACAGTGTTTTTCTCTTCACCTCTCTAATGGTGAAAATATAATATAGGAATGGATCTGTGAACACATTGCTTCTTGCTGTGGAGCCCTGGCATGTTATCATGTTTCCAGTCATGACTTATCCAAAATGGCCTATTTTGATACTGCACCTATTGCAGAAATAATAGACATTGACAATAGACACAACTCATTGCACTGATAAGCTCAAGAAACATTGAAACCTACCTCAATTCCGACTGCGCTCAGCCCTGGTGGCCAATGCATCCTCTTTCCATGCATCCTCTTTCCATCCTCTACACACAGTGCTTGGCCCCAGCCATGCGTTGCTACCGCTTGGCCTCAGCCAGACATCACTGCCACTCTCCAAGCGGCCCCGCCAACCGGGCTGCATAGTGGCTACCAGAGCTGGAACTGGGACCACAGTGAGGCTGCCCCAGTTGGGTCAACCTCACCGTGGCCCTGGTTCCAGCCGCAACACACCTGGCTGCCTGCTACCCAACTCACTCTGCTGGGAATTACCTTACGGAGACCCTAGAGGGTGGGGCTAATTAAAAGCTGGGTGTGTGGCCTGGTATTGTGTCATGGCCTCACAGGCAGGGGTTTGCGGCCTACCGCCAGTCCATGGACTGGCAGTTGAGAACTGCTGTTCTAGAAGATAGCTTATTTCTTCTTGCCTCACATTCCGGCTACCAGAATGACCTACAATTTTAAGTGGAAATGGTTTCCTATGAGCCTCTCTTCTTGCCTTCTAGATACAATTAGCAACTATTTGAGCCTACCAGAAACTAGGTCTTTGCCATCTCTTTTCAGCAGTTTCACACACAGTTTGAATCTTTTAAAGCCTTCCATACAAACAAACAAACCCTTTTGTCCCAGGGATTTGAATGCAATCCTGATAGGGCAGATGAATGAAAGCCCTTTGAGCCACCCACTTCCTGTGAGTTTAAGACTTTACATGGATGGTCATTTTTCTGGCTGCAGCGACTTCAGCCTGCACAGTGAAAGAGCATCATGCCCTAGTGACAGATCTGCCTTAACTAGACTTTACGGCTACGTCTAGACTGGCATGATTTTCCAGAAATGCTTTTAACGGAAAAGTTTTGCGTTCTGAGTTGAGCTGTCTACACTGGCCCTTTTGCCCGAACGGGAGCAGCACAGTATTTCCGCAAGAACACTGATAATCTTACATGAGATCGTCAGTGCTTTTGCGGAAATTCAAGTGGCCAGTGTAGACAGCTGGCAAGTTTTTCCGGAAAAGCGGCTGATTTTCCAGAAAAACTGGCCAGTCTAGACACAGCCTATAAGAATAAGGTGAGGTTGGAGACTTGACTGACATTCTTCTCCAAAGTAGTGTTGAAGTTCCACCTGTTAATAAGCCTATCACCCAACTTTCTTCCTATGATCACATTTCCTTCCCTAGGGAAGTGTTGCTCAGCGTTAAGACTCAGGGGTTCTAACTGGAGAGAATTAAAAATTTTAGAAGATCCAGAAAACTTTTTTTGTTTTGGAGACTATTTCAGGAATGTCTGTTTTGTGCATTTCTATAATTTCAACTGAGTTGAAACTAAGAAGGTTCATTTAATAAAAGACAAGGCAGTTCATTTCTGGTCCTCTCTTCATCTGTTTAGAAAGGGTTATTCCTTGGTTTTGGCCTCCAAGTGGGAATTTGATTTCAGACTCTCCATACTCTAGAACTTGTCTCCAACATAGGAGTGGCCAAACTCCCCACTGACACCCCAAAAGTTTTTTTTTATGGCATTTCTCTATTCAGTTGTATGAGAATTAAGTGTGTCTCTCGCCTTTCTTACTGGTTAATTGTCACACTTCACTATTTTTTCAATTTAAGATGTTATCTTACCCTCTTTTTAGTGTACATTTAAAAAAAATCCACCCTGTTCCAGTTGTTGGTGTCAGCCCTGTAGTTACTGCATGTTTTAGCTTTGTTCTCATTAACCAAAATATATAGAATTTGCCCATGAAAGCTCATGATTCTATAGATTTTGGTTAGTCTCTAAGGTGCCACAGAACTATTCATTGTTTTTCAGGGGGAGTTTCTCTGGGCATATTTTTTTTTAATCTTTTCATTGATATAGATTAGATTTTCTTATTGCTGGGACCTTTCATTCCCATTCAGTTGGAGATAACTGAAATATTGATGCTTCAGAGAGGGCATGGAGCAATGGCTAATAAGAAACCTAGCTTATGCTCTCTACTCCATTATTACTGCCGTTAAAGGTAAAATGTAACCTTAAGAGCTAGTGCCAATCTTATGGAACAATTGCAAAGATCTAGAAATGAGAGTGCTACATACAGGAGCAGAATTTTGTAAGATAAGTAGCTTTCCTTTTTGTTTACAATGGAGGGATGGTCTGGGAGTCATGATAGATATGGTCTTTGAGGTTTTTAAGTAGATAAAGTATCTGCTGAGGTTTATTTTTTCAATAAAGACAAAAGTATTTTATGTTCATGTTTTCACTTTTAGGTAATAGCTATTTTCAATGTGACTCAAAACAGAAGAACAACATCATTTAATCTTACGGAACTCTCGGATTTTACAGAGTATGCTATTGCTATTCAGTGTGTTATCATTGAATCAGAAATCTGGAGTGAATGGAGTCAAGAGAAAATAGGAAGAACAGAACAACAAGGCAGGCTAATGCTTTGCAATATAATTTTTCCTCGGGATTAATTTTGAATCTTTTGTCACAAAAGTTAAGATTTAATATTACCAGACAATTTTCAGCATATTGTCAGTCAGTTGATGTCATAGTTTGGCTTTGAAATTATGAAAACATATACATTCATTTAAAGACAGCTGATGGGGTGAGGAAAAGGTGGAACAGGAAACAAACTGAAAGGAATAAAAAGATCTGACAAGTGAGGAATATAGAATGGAGGAGGAAAATAAGGACTGATTAAAAGAAATAAAAATATAGACCTAGGAAAGGGAAGATAACCATAAAAAATGGGGGAGGGAGGGAAGAGACTGATGGCAATGAGAAGAAAAATAGAAGGTATACAGGGATCAATAAAGAAAACAACAAAGCCCCCCAAAGTGGTACAAAGGCAGAAACACAGAAACAAGCAGGGACAATACAAACAAAAGGTAACTAAAATTTCATTAAAGAGAATAAATTAATAAAAACAAATTAGAAACTCCCTAAATTCAGAAAGCAAATTAAAGCACAATGTGGAAAGGAATAAAAGGAAGTATACAGGCAGGGTTCTGAGGGAAGATGAGAGAGGCCAGATTAGTACATTAAATGTAAATGGCTGGAAACACCGCTAAAGCTCGAAGATGTTTTTCTTTAGGGCTATGTCTACACAGCAGCGTTATTTTGGAATAACTGATATTATTCTGAAATAAAATAGTCCATGTCTACACAGTAAGCAGTTATTTCGACATAATGTTGAAATAATTGCAAGCTGCAGGACTTCTTACTCCCACTCCTGTAACTCTCATTTTATGAGGAGTAAGGGAAGTCGGAGGAAGAGTGTTGCTATGTAGACAGCGCCAAAAGCTGAAATAAGTTATTTTGACTTATGCTACCCAATTGACATAGCTCAAGTTGCTTATTTCGGTTTTATCCCTTCTGTGTAGACGTGTCCTAGTAGTATTACTAAGTCTATTTGTTTATATTTTGTATTAATATTGAGAAAGTTATTTACTTTCTCTTTACCTGTCACTACTTGTCCAATGCTAAGTAGGACATTAGTAGAGAGGGAATAGCAGTCATGAGCAGTGTTCCCTCTAAGATTTTCCATCCGTGAGCAAAGTCAGTTTTGTCTTGTGCACCAATAATGAGGTCATGTACAGTTGTTCAGATGTGTGCCATTGTGGTACTCATCAGTTAACAAATACCTTTTATATATTTTTAAATTATTTTTACCTCATCCAGAAGTAAATATAGCAATGCCTAGCTCACATACTGTGCTTTTCCTCGGTAGATCTCACAATACGAAGGGGAGCACAATCATCACTATTTTATAGATGTGGAAACTGAGGTATAAAGCATGTCCAGTTACACATCCAGGAATTAGAACCCAGCTCTCCTAAGCCACAATCCCATGCACTAGTCATTGTGCCACATTTTTATAGATGGAGGGGTTAAGGTCACAATTTTTGAAGTCAAATGACCTGAATAAATTATCCCCTAAACAGAGATGTTCAGAACCTGCATCTCTCACAGATTTCAGTTCCTGTATTTCTCAGTGTCTCACTTTCCCTGTCTGACATGCCAAATTCTTATGACAAAAGAACAGATTGATTTTAAACATGCATAAAATGTTATCTGCTTTCACTAGGGTTTCCTGCTCCTTTTCCTGGGTGTGGTAGATGGTTGCAAAAAACGCAGATGCCAATTAATTAATCCTGTGCTCCTCCCAACCCTGCTCTACATCAGTTTAGTCTATACTTCCCACACCAGCCTCTATCTTTTCCCCTTGCAGCATTTTTCAGCTCACCCCCTCTTTCATGAGTACGCTTAGCATTGCTTCTCTCTTGCACTGTTCAACTAGCATTAAGAATAAACATTCATACTTGCATGTGCAACTTGGCCTATTGCACGTGCTTATACCCTTCCCATTTTCCTAAGCACACAAATGTTTTGAAGAATGTCAGTTACCTCTTTGTACAGTCAGACTAATCCTTTGTCTTTATTCTTAGGTCACCCACTGCTCTTTGTTTTTTCCTGTGGATTTTCTTGTTCAAATTTCACAATCTCTCAATGTGCAAGTGGCTCAGTACACAATATGCATCCAGCAAGAGCTGTACAAATGTATATAGGGCCAGAGAGGGAGACAGGTATCTGTTCTCTCCTGCCTCTTCTGCAGTCGGACCTAGTCACTGAAGCAGCCCTGGCCACCAGCCTGTGATGCGGGTTGGCTCTGGCCCTGGCTGGAACTTCCAGAGCAGCTGCCACACACCCATGATGTAGCTCGGCTTTGGCCCTATGCACATTTGTACATCTCTGGCTGTGGCTCCAACTGGGGCCATCGGGGCAGCTGCTGCCAGTCATGCAGCCCACAGCTCCAGCCCTGGGAAAGGGCTGAAGCTGGGGCGAGGGCCACATGGTGGCCTGTCGTCGTCCTTCTTGGGAGGGGCAGCCACCAGCCACTTAGCCATGCCCCGGAGCAGCTGAGCAGTCACTGCATGGCTCTGCAGAGTAGGTGGGAGGGAGACACAATCTTGGTGCATGTCTGTGCAGGCATGCATCTTTGAGGGAACACTGATCATGAGTAGCGTACATGTATTGAAGGGTGTGTGTTATTCAGTGAAGACAGAAATAATGGTAAGAGTGTGGGAATAGCATTATATACTAACAATGAAGGAGTCTGCAAAGCGATTAGAAGTGATGGAATGGATAAAAGTGAGTCTGGGTCAAAATCACTTTGGGGAAGAAAGCTACCAGAGATTCCCCTAGAATAGTACTTTAAATCAAAGTTGAGGAAGCTATCAGAAGACCGCATTTCAAGCAAGGGGAAAATATTGGTGGGAAACTGGATGAACAGGCATCTTAAATAGATTATTAAGAAAAAGCAGAAAACTTAAGCACAAATAATGGGAATGTGATAATGAATTTTGTGGATGATATAATGTTGGGAGGTATTGCCAGTATGGAGGAGGATCAGAAAATCTGGATAACATTGTAAACTGCAATAATACAAACGGGATTGAACTTAATAGTGGAAAGTACAAGATCATGCACTTAGAGACTAACAACAAGAATTTTGCTCTAACCTGAGGATGTATCAGTTGGAGGTGAGGAGAAAGAATTAGGTGGTTTTGGTTGATCATGTGCAAGTTTGTTTTTCCATTTTTAAACAGCATTCTCCAAAGTGGAACAGGTGCAGAGTAGAGCTAGTAGGAGAATAAGAGGAACGGAAAGCTTACTCAAAGGAGTAACTCAAAGAGCTTGGCTTTTTTAGCTTAGCTTAGCTAAAAGAAGGCTGAGGGGAGATAAACACATCAGAGGGATAAATAACAAGGAAGGAGAGAGTTATTTAAGTTAAGGTCCAGTGTGGACAGAGCCATGAGTATAAACTGGCCACCAACAAATTTAGGCTTGAAATCATATAAAGGTTTCTAATAATCAGAGTGAAGTTATGGAACATTCTTCCAGGGAGAGCATTGGGGGCAAAAAGCATAAGTGGTTTCAAGACACTGATAAGTTTATGGAGGTAATAGTGTGATGAGACTGCCCACAATGTCATGTAGCTTTTCTGCAACTGCTAGTAGCATTGTCTCCAAAAGGGCAATAGATGGGGAGGGCTCAGGATTACTACAGAGAATTTCTTTCCTAGTTGTCTGGCTAGTAAGTCTTACTTATATGCTTTGGATCTAACTGATCACCATATTTGGGGTTGGGAAGGAATTCTCCCCTAAATCAGATTGACATAAACCTTGTGGGGGAATGAGGGGGAAGTTGCCTTCTGCAGCATGGGGCATGGTTGCTCATTGATTTAAACTAGTGTAAATGGTAGATTCTTGGTAACTTGAGGTAATTTTTAAAAATTATAATTTGAGGACTTCAGTAACTCAACCCAGAGCGGGTGTGTCCATTGCAGGAGCAGATGGGTGAGATTCTGTGGTCTGTAATGTTCAGGAGGTCAGATGAGATAGGGGTGGTGGTCCCCAAGCCTACCACTGGGGTAGGAGAAGGATGGCAAATGGAGCAATTGCACAGGGGCCCAGCATTTCCAAGGACCCCAGAGCTCCTGGCCACCACTGCTGCTACTGTGGCAGCAGAGGCAGCTAGAACTCCAGGCCCCTTTGAATTGTGGTGGGAGCACTGTTTTGCTTCTCTGCAGGGCTGTGAGGGTATGTCTAGACTACATGCTTCTGCCGACAGAGTCAAAGAAGCTGGGATTTAAATATCTCCGGCTTCATTAAAATAAACATGGCCACCGCGCTGTGCCGGCTCAGCTGATCGTTGGCATAGCGCGTGAGTCAATACGTGGATCAGTCGACAGGGGAAGCCTTTGTTGACCTCTCCCTTATGACTTGTGAAACGAGGTTTACAGGAGCAGTCGACAAAGGCTTTCCCTGTCGACCGATCCGCGTCTTGACTCGCGCGCTGTGCTGACGATCAGCTGAGCCAGCACAGCGCGGCAGCCATGTTTATTTTAATGAAGCTGGGGATATTTAAATCCCGGCTTCTTTGACTATGTCGGGTAGCCTATTTTACATGCCTCTGTCAGCAGAGGCATGTAGTCTAAACATACCCCAAGGGCTGCAAAAAGCCTCAGCACCATGCTCCAGGAAGCATTAAGGGGCTACTTCCCTCAGCATTGACCATTCTGCTCCTCCAGGTGCATGGAGCCACCTCCCAAACCTGGCCCCTAGGCTGTCAGTGGCTGTCAGACCTAACTTTAAAATGTCTATCAGGGAGGATAATAATTTTAGAAGGGGCCCTGGGCCACCTGAGAAGGGTGGGGCCTTGGATGGAAGGGGCAGGGCCAGGACACTTCCTGTTCTCTCCTCACTCCCACGCCAATCAGGGCCTGGGGACGTGGGAGCATGCAAAGTCTCTCACTCCTGCCGCCATCCTACTAGGGGTGCGTGGCGCTAGTGTGAACAGCCTGTTGGTGGTTCACTCTAGGCGCCGCTGTCCCTGGTGGGAGGGGTGGGGGACTACGCGTGCTCCTCCGTCCCCACGTCTCAATTGGCCTGGAGGTAGGGGAGTGGCAGGATGGCGGCCGGCCAGATCAACCAGCTTGATAGGCCAGATCCGATCTGCGGAGGCTCTCATGCCCCACTCCCCCGTCCTACGTCTATGCATCAAGATTCTGGAACTTTTTGTTCAATTCTGTTTCTGAAGCAATGCCAGTCTAGAATAAATAAAATGCTTCAGAGGGTAGCTGAGTTAGTCTGTATAGGATAAACTTAAAAAACAACAAATAGTCTGGTAGCACTTTAAAGACTAACAAAATAAGTTTTGTTGGTCTTTAAAGTGCTACCAGACTATTTGTTTTTTAAGGTTAGAATAAATAAGTTAATGAAAAATTGTCTGTATAGTGCTATAGATGTAATAGCAGTTTTATGTGGGAAGATATGGGTCCTGCCTTGAGGCTTTCATAATGTAAATGAAACTTATACTGTAATACACAGCTATCAAGAAATAGATTTTAAAGAAGGACCAGATACTTACTGAGTGCAAGCTAGTGCTGTAAAGCTAAAGACAGTGAATTTTAGTGAGGAATTTGAAGGAGGATAGGCAGAGGCCTGTAAATCCACAGATATCTGTGGCTTATTTTTTAGTATATAGATGTGGATATAAATCTTGTATCTGGAACCTTGCAAATTTGTGGATATCTGCTTTACATTCATGGCTATCCACATCTGTGGATGTCAGTGCGGATATCTGCGGCTCATTTTTGCAGATACAGATGTGGATGCAGATACAAATTTGGTATCTACACAGGACTCTAAGGATTGGGAAATTGCTTGGTGTATAGGAAGAGCTACTTCAGCTGTGAAGGGCAATATGCAAAAAAGCATAGTTGCAAGTCAAAAAGAAACAGGGAATATGGAGGAAACAGTGATTATCCTAATGAAAACTGTTGCTTTCACTGTAAATTAGTTGCTTTATGATTGCAATTTGAAATTTTTTTCAAAATGATTTTCAATATTGCTACTAATTTTTTAAAAGTAACTGTACGTTTCCTGCTTTTTTGTTTTTAATAGCTCCTTCAAGAAAAGTCGATTTGTGGAGAATAATCGAATCTTCACCATCAGCTGCAGATAGATATGTGCATCTTATGTGGAAGGTATATATACCCATGATTTTAAAATCCCAATGCCTCTTCCAGCAGAAATTATATATATATTATCTAAGCCATACAAGCCCTATACAAAGCTAAAATAGAACCTACCAAAGTTTTCTGTTAACTAACATGAAGTTGACCACAATTTTCCAGTCAGTGTGTAGAACAACAGGATTTATCATATAATATGATATGCAACTAGCTAGTTCGAACTAGGCTTAATCCTCGTAAAATGAGGTTTTCCTAGTTCAAACTAAGCGATCCGCTAGTTCGAATTAACTTTGTAGTGTAGACATACCCCCAGAGATAGAGAAGGGAAGAATTCTGGAGTTCTGGAAAGGTGTCCAGTGTTATGTATTTATTAAAAGTGCTTTTGGTTATAGAAGCAATATTATAAAACATCCACAATTTGTATTTATTTTTAAACAGGTGTCAAAAGAATGTCCATCTTCTGAGTTTCTACTTAGCTACAAAATACAATACTGTCCAGAAAACAATGCTTCTTTTAAAATGACACACAACACTACTGACAAGATGGCCACGCTCTTTTTAACAGGGGAAGCCTATGTGATATCTGTTGTTGCATATAACTTGGTTGGAGAGTCTCCTGAGGCAACTCTGAGAATTCCATCCATTGGTGAAAAATGTACGTTTTTATAAGACTGGTGTCTAGACATTTCCTTGGATTATTGAAACAGTCTTTTCCCTATCCATGTGATAATTCATTTTGCCCATCTTAAGTCCTGTTGCAGTTAAAGTGAAATTGTGGGAGAGATTTTTTTTGTTCTGGATTCTACAGGTGGAGGAAACCTCTTGGGAAATCATTTATCACTGTCAGTACAGGATTGTCTAATTTCACTGTTTAATTTAATGGAAGTGCAACAGAGCAAGGAAACACCATACTTGAGTAAGATAGAAAATGTGTTCAAGCACTGGTATATCATTTTATTTGAACTTGTTATATATTTTCCTATTAGGAATAGTGCTTCCTTTTTATAAGGCCATTAGTAGGAGTCACTGTTTTTTTGTTTGTTTGTTTGTTTTTTGTTTTTTAATGTTAAAACAGATAATCCTGTTTTATTTTGCACTTTGTTTTCATGGTAGTTCAAGAAACCTCCTTCATCTCCCAGGTCTATGATTTTGGAGTTTTATTTTACTTTCCTTTATCTTTACATTGTAACAATTTGCCTGCCTATTAACACACAAAAATAAAATAAATAAAAAATACATCTCTTGTGGTGTTGTCTTAGGGTCATAGAGTTTAAAGCCAAAAGACCACTAGATTAGCTAATCTGACCTCTTACATATCAGAGGTCACCAACACCACTTAGTATCCTCATGCTAAATGTAACAACTGAAATTAGACCAAAATTTTATAGCGCGTGGGAGACTAGGCTATTATGCACCACAAGCAGAGAACAGGAGAGTCTGATATGCCCCAGAGCCTGAGACTCTTGTAATGTCAGGGAAATAATTAAGGGAGATATATCCAGATAACATTGTTGAATTGCTTATGTGCTCATTTGTCATGCCAAGATAATTATAGCTCCTCCAACTTCAGTCTCTCAACATTGCTCATATGCAAATTTCAAAGTGGTCAGAAAACAGGGTACTTCTTGACTTGTACATACAGACATGGTCACACCTCTTCTGATCTTGAGTGTCTCCTTGTCCTCTCCAGAATATTTTTTATGGCTGGGCTCCTATCAGCTCCCATTTTGTGGTCTGATCTTTTGTCCTTTTTTACTCTATCTAGCTTTCTCTATTTTTCCAGCTCTGGTTTCCTCTCTGTTCCTTGTCTCTGATTATTTCCTATTGCTTTACCGTATTTCCTATCAAAACACAATTCAAAACCTAAACCTACATCTCTGTGCTACTACAGACAACAAAATGTAAAGTATGGATATATCCCACTTCTTTATTTCTCTGCATACAGACACCCTCTTCTACTTTCTATTTTATTATAGAAATTCAATTATTGTTTCCTATGTTATCAGATATTGTGTGTGCACATGTGTATAACTAAATAAAATGGTGCTTTAGACAATTAAGCTGAACTTTTTGCTTGACTTGCTAAGTCACACACTGTTCTAAAGATACAAATCTAAACCTGTCATCACTGAATTGCTACATTATTATGGATTTTTGCTTTATTAAAATTAATTAGACTATCACTGCTAATTTTTAAGAAGGGTTGATGTTATTTTGCAGCTTCCAAATTGATTGATACAATGAGGACATTTACTTTAAATGAACGAATGGTTGTGGAATGGGAATCATCAGTTTCAGAAGTAAGCAAATATGTCATTGAATGGTATGAGGAGTTGGAGACGAAGCCCTCTGCTAGATCCTGGCAATATATATCAAATATTACAAGGTGGACAGCTCAGAAAGGCAAGTTTACTATGCTTGTGCAATCTTAGAGATGTGAAACTTATATAACTTCAGAACCTAAATATAAATTTTCTGTCCAAGAAATGTATTTTGTTTTTCTGTTTAATATAGGCTATATGTTATACTAAGGTATCTTTTCCTGATGTGTGTGCAGCATACTCTTGTGTCAAACAAAAGCATTGTGACACACAAACACTGTTGTTTTTCACTGCATTATAAGATAAAAAGTCTGAGAATCATGACTGCATAACAGCAAACAATGTACAAAATTTTAATCATGAAGCAGAAATAAATAATAGCTTTTTAAATTTTCCATGCAGTATTTGTAGCAGCATCTATTTTGTACATAAATTGACTAATATCTAAAAACAGTGACTTAAAATAATTTTAATGTTAAATATTTTTTTAAATTGACATTAATAGCAAATAATTTAAAATTGCAACACAAACTTTAAATACAGATATTTAATAAAAATTTAACTTCTGTACTATTAGGGTTGATTACAGAATATACAGCTCTTTAGGTATGATCAGATGACGAAAATACAAAGAAAATGTCTTCCAGTTCTTGAAAAAGAAGACAGGTAGTTTTTGAATGGAAATTTGTGTTCTAAGTAAAGAAAAATGAACATATTTTTTGAAGCTCTTTGGCAACATGTTGCAACCGGAAATTATTCAACATTAAAAAAATAATCGCACAAGTCAAGAACCTCAGTATGATACTGAACAATCTGTCTTTTGCTAAATATTCAGGATTCTTCAAGAAGTTTCAATTAAATCAATTAATTCTTTCCCCTGTATAAAAAAGCAGATCCTAACCCACCATATGCTAGACCCCCTATCAGTTTATATATATATACAAGATCCTTGCCTCACATATTTTAAATCTGAAAATATAAAACAGACAAGCAGTAATAGGCAGACAATACGCAACAAAATATCAAACCTGTACATATTTTGTCAGTCATAATTGTTTACTTTTTTACTTTTTTTTAACTTCCCCAAAACACTTTCTGTGCTATCCTGGACCCAGAGTAAAAGAGTGGCATAAAAGAAAGAGCCTCTGCACTGGATTTACAGAACTTGATGATAAATCATGGTGTGATCCTCACTAACCTGAATAAACTGGTTGTAGATTTAGATTAGATTAGGCTGGCAGTAGGGCTACACTAGAGAATTTGGCCCAGAGTGTTCAAACACTAATTCTAGTAGCAAGCGTCTTCCATTGAATTTGAACTGGTTGAATAGGGTTTAGGGAGAGAGGTGCCATCTTACCTAACTGGTTGCTAGACCATCAGTGTTTGAATGATAATTACCGAGAATTATACCTGGAAAAAAGAAGCCACTGCCGTGATTTCAGTTAAAGCTACTCACAAGATGAATATTCTGCATAGCTGGACCTAATTAGAACTCCCTTGTTACTTTTGAATACTTACATTACACATTAAAGAATACCTCTTTGACTAGAAATAAAAAGATGGAAATAGTTTCAGAAAAAGGACTGAAGGATCATCAGATATTTTATTCCCTCAATCCTAGTTTATAAATTTACAGTAATTACTGTTGTCCAGTGTTAGTGATTATAAGATTATGTGAATATGTAAATTGCTACATAAGAATAAAGTATAATTATTATTCCTTAGTCAAAATATTTTACTGAAAAATGTAGTCTGAATTCAAGTGCTTTTAGAAAAGCTGCCAATAAAGCCCATTCTGTGTTCTCTCTCCATGCTTAAGTACAGCAATGAGTATGCAAGAGAATAAGCATAGATTTCACTCCTAAAAACTTATGGAAAATACCAGTATGAAGCATTCCTACATTTACCTAATGCTAGCAAGAAAATACCACTTTCTTTGTTTTCTTATGTAAAAGTGAAACTTAAATGAGGGATATTCTTAATCTGAGAAACATTTTTTTTCTTACAGATGCCTTTAAACCCTTCATCTGTTACAATATCTCGGTATACCCACTTTATGGAAATAAAATAGGAACTCCAAATTCCATACAAGCTTTTATTCAAGAAGGACGTATGTATATGAAACTGTCAATACAGTCAAACTTCTGTACTATTCTTAATCTTGTAACAGCATCTGTGCAATGTAATTAGGACTTACATTATTAAGGGAAAGAAGTAGTGATTATTGCATAGAACTATGAGTCAGGATTTAAGGTTTTTATTCCCAGCTATTAACTTGCTGTGTATTGCATGGACAGTAATTTAAGATGTGTACCTGAGTTTCCTTATTTTATAATATAGGTATAGAGCTTGCTTAATTTGCAAGGGCTTGAGCAGTGTTGTAAGGCACTTTGAGAATCAAAAGAAAGCTGCCACAAAACACATTAAAATTGTTTTTATTATTGTTAAGTATGGGCCAAATTTTAAACGTTGTAGTCGCATTCAGACATCATTTTATTATACTATTCAAGGATATATTGGAGTGAACTTTTTATGTTCAATTTCACTTTTTCCAGTGAAAGACTGATTGCTGGGCATAGACTAAAATCGCTAGTTTGAAAAGTTTTAATTTTGCTCAGTTTTTACAGTTGTAAGGGAAAATATACATTCCTGCATATTAAGACTTTTTTTTTTTTTTTTGGCTAATGATAGAAAATCTTGCCATTTCACAGTGGTCAGAAATCATGGATTGATTATTGTTTTTAGTAGAATTGTAATGTGAATTAGCTGAATTATACAGTTAATTGTAAGAATCAAGTTTGGTGGTAGTTTCAAGATTTCACGTTGTGAATTGGTGAAGCCTCTAGGGAAATGGGTACAGTATGAGGATGATAGAGCATATCATTGCTAAAGAAACCTAGATGGATTGGCTTGTTTGTGAAGGGATAATCACTGGTTGGTTTTGAATGCTATTTATAGTTAAAAATGTCCTGATAATAGTGACGGTTGATTGAGAGAGGGGGGTGGTTTTATTCTTTTCAGCAGACTGGACCATGCAGAAGTCTTGCTAGATAGCATTTGAATTATGCATATAGAAATTGTATGATATAGATAGGGAACCTGATCTTGCGGATAGAGCATTGGTTTGCAAATCTGGGTTCAATTCCCCTCTCACGCATCTTATGTGACCAGGACAAGTCACTTAATCTGACCTGTGTCTTGGCTTCTCATCTGTAAAATATATGTAAATAGTTCCCTCTTCATAGGAATGTTGAAGATAAAATCCTTCAGTGATTATGAGATGTTCAGACACAAGTCCCTCATCACTGTAGTAAGCAGTGGTGCAAGTGGGCTAGTATGGTCTGGAATCAATGTCATTTTTAGCTGGTACAGGTACCAGAAGAACTCCCTGCCAGCCAGCCTCAGCCCTTCAACTGAGCTGTTTCCTCATATTTTTTTCTTACAGGTGCCTTTAAACCCTTCAGATACTATAATTTCTTAAATAAAAGTAAATCTGTCCCTTGTATGACTGCTCTACGCAGCTAGGTAATGCCATTTAAAATACTTATTGTATATTTATTACATTTTGGTATTTTTGTAGGTCCCTCAGTTGGTCCTGTGGCTAAAACAGACAATTTGGGAAAAAACGGGGCTACGATAAGATGGAAGAAGATCCCAAAAGATAAAAGAAATGGCTTTATTGTTAACTACACAATATTTTATAAACCTGAAGGTGGAAAAGAATTAAGTGAGTATATGTTTGTTTAAATGAACATAGAAGTTCTCCATTCTGATATGCCAGTGTGCTGGCCCAAAATGTCTGTTACTTTATGAAGGTATCAACATACAGTACCTGTTACAGCACCAGTTTTACAAGAGAGGTTTTCACATCTTTTTAGGCTAAATGGGTGACTGATCACTTTCCAGATAATTAATGTTCTACATTACAGGGGGGAGGAGCAGAGTTTCTCCATGCTTTGTGTGCTCTGTAATGGTCACTGAATGTGACCTATTTCCTATTTCCTGTCATTCTCTTCTCGATTATTTAATGCTAAGTGCTCTATTTGTGTAGAACCTAGGCCAAGGCTAGCTATGAGTGTGTCTATGGAGTCAAAATGGCAGATGTAGTTGCATTGCTTAATGCATTCCTGAAAGGCATTAAGACACTACAATGATGATAAAGGCTGGGTGAAATTTTCAGGACTAATATAGTTTATTTGTTCACTGGAAACTATTAGCGAATGTGACTCAATTTGTTTGGCTGAGAAGAGGTTTTTCAGGGTTAGGGTGTATGTCATGCCCGTTCTTTATTAATCTTTAACCTAGTCATTAGGGCACTTTTCTGGGTTATGGGAAATTGGCATTTGAATCCCCACTCAGGAGCAAGGACTTTCAAATTGAGCTCTCCTTTGTCGTAAATATTACTTAACTACTTACATATTTCATGGAAGCAGGGACTTTGTTCTACCCGTGTGAGGTGACTGCCCTAATCACCAGGCTATAGGCTCTTTTTGCTCCTGCTAAAGATGTTTCATTTTGTATGAATATATAAATATTGGGCCAACAAGAGAGCTGAGTGAAATGATTTTCTAGCATTCTCTGATTAAGGCAGAACCTGAATAGACTAGAACTCTAACTTGCACTGGACAGATTTACATAAGTTCTCTAATTAACTTCCTTAAGGGTGAATAGGGCAGTCTTGATATTTTCTTGTCACAGCTGTATATCTGAAAGTATTTGTTGCTAAAATACCTACATGTTTATGGCAGATGATATTGTTGTACTTGTAGAAATAGAACTAGCAGAATCTTGTTAGGGGGATAAGGCAATATGCCACATTTATTGTGAAGGCAGAATTCATTTACTATCCCTAGCTACTAAAATTGTCCAACACACATCCACACAATTCTACAGATGGGATATAGTTACCAGTCTCAGTTGCTCATGCTATTGCACTGGGCAGGTGGCCTGGACATGAGAAGAGGAGCCAGGTTGTGTCAGTGCACACTGATGCTCCTGGAGGATGATTGAGGAACCAAAAGACCCAATCCTGTGGTATTGCACCCATCTTTTATATGGCTTAGTCCAGTGGTCTCCAACCTTTTTACACCTAAAATCACTTTTTAAATGATGGAACAAGCCAAGATCTACTGCCTCATCCTTCCCCCAAGACCCCAACCCTTCCTTGAAGCCCCGTCCCACCCTCTCTATTCTCCTCCTCTCCATCACTTGCTATCCCTAACCCTTATACTGCAGCTTTTTTTTTTTCAATTCTTCTGTAGGAAGAGGTTTTTTCAACATTTGGCCTGTCTAGACTGTACCAAATGTCAGAAAAAACCCTTCTTCAGGAAGCCCCCTTATTCCTAGTGGAAAGAGGAATACAGGGGGTTACTGAAAGAACATGTTTGCTCTGCCACTTAAAAAAAGCAGAACAAATGCTTCCCTGAACGCAGAAGAGTTTTTCTGGGATATCTCTGGAATCCTGTAAAGTCTAGCTGTACCCTTGCTGGGTTGAGACAGAATGTGTAGGCTCTAGGGTGGGAATGAGGGATTTGGGTGTGGGAAGGGGTGAGAGGTGCAAGCTCTGGGAGGAAATATGGTTGCAGGAAGAGATGGAGAAGGGGCCGCTGGCTTGGGGAGGGGGCTCCAGGCTGGGCAGTGTTGAGGTCAGATGGAGGGTTGGGGTACTAAGCAAGCCACAGGCTTGTGGATGTGAGGGTGCAGGAATTTGGGTTGGGGTAAGTGAGGGGCTCAGAGCAAGGGGTTCCAGTGTATGATAGGCTCGAAGGAAGAAGGGTCAGGAGTGTTATGATGCTGTGGCCAGATGGGGGCTTGGCTCCAATTAGGGGTTTGTTGGCCAGGCTTCATTTTTAAATAAAATACTATGTCAAACACAAAAAGTTTCTGCATTGTCTTTATTTATGAGAAGGGCAGGGAACCTGTTTTGAGTCAAGGGTCACTGACCCACAGAAAAGTAAGTTGGGGCCACACAAATGAGATGCACAAAAATAACTCCTCCAAAACCCTCCCAAGCCTTACTAATGTGGCCCCAACTGTGCTGGCGGGAGCTGGGGACATGGTACTGGGGAAGGGTGCTAGTGGGTGCTGGGGAAGGGTGCTAGTGGGTGCTGGGGCAGGAGACAGGGTGCCAGTGGGGGCAGGGTTCTATGGCTGGGGACAGGGGAGAGGGAACAGGGTGCCAGGAGGGCAGGTGACAGGGTTCTGCAGCAGGAGGCAGGGGACAGGGCGCCAGTTGGGACAGGTTTCTGCAGCAGTGGAGAGGGGATAGGGTGCTGGGGGGGCAGGGTGCCAGTGGGGGAGAAGGGACAGGGTGCTGGGAGGGAGGAAGGGGACAGGGTTCTGCAGCAGGGCACAGGGTGCCAGTGGGGGCAGGGTTTTGCGGCTGGGGGCAGGGGGGAGGGGGCAGGGGGGCAGGGGACAGAGTTCCAGTGGGGAAAAGGAGACAGGGTGCCGGGGGGCAGGGGAGAGGGTTCTTCAGCAGGGGACAAGGTGCCAGTGGGGCACCCACCTCCGCCCAGGACCCCCCCCCAAAGGAGGGAAGCCCTGTTGCACGCCTCCTGTGGGGCTGACGCGTGCCTCCCATAGAGGCACGTGCTTCTTCCGGGCCCGACTCCCCTCTCCCGCGGAGCAGGGAAGCCCACGCACACGCTCCCTCTGGGGCTGACTCCCCCTCAGTCCCACAGAGAAGGTAAGTCCAAATGTGAGCCTCTGGGGACTCCCCCAGTAAGCTCCCGACCCACCACAGACCTAGGACAAGGAAGCAGCCAGCACATTTCTGGAACCCCCGGAAGAGACACGCAGCTCAGGACTTCCATCCGCCCAGTGGGAAGCCACCACTACCTCCATTGTCACTGGAGGTAGGTAGTGGGGCTTCTTGGGGGTGGGGGAATATGGAGGGCCTGGAACACCTGGCGATTGACCAGTCGATAGCGATCGACGGGTTGGTGACCACGGACTTAGTCCATAAATCTTGTGCTGTCCCACTGCCCCAGGCACTGTCTGACCATAAGTCATCAGTTAACAGCAGATGGGACTTTGATCTTTTCTTGATGGGGTTTTTGTCTCTTTCTTTCTTGGGTGGGTTCTTTTCAGGGCTCTTACATTGTTCCTTCAGCCAACAAGACATGCACCTAGCTTTAAACAGAGATAAGGCAGTACAAAATTTAAAATGAGGTTTCAGTTACAATATGGTTAAATGGGGCTTCAGTTACAATATATTAAAAAGTTTTAAAAAAAAGTCACAATAACAGATTCTCTAAAGGCAATTCGTAACAGGTTACTAACAAATTAATTCAAATCCCATTCATAAAAATTAGGCTGCAATTCATGAGGTTACATAATGTCACAGTGGTAGATATAAATTTATTAAAAGGGTGATTTCATTCTTCAGTCCTACGGTATCTTTTAGAATTAAACTTCACTATTTGATATTCCAGGAAAATGATTCACATGATCTACATATATTTTATGGTCTCCGTGTTATGTCATTGCTGTAATGGAAAAAAATCCACACTCCATAAAGAATTTTGAAAATATTTGCTTTTAAAAGTTTTATTTCTTTTTTTAAAAAATATTAAAGCTAATGTTAAAAAATTGCACAGTACACAGGTTAAAAAACAGGAGAGTCTGAACACCTGGGTGTCATGCTTGGATAGATAAAAAGTTTGCTTCAAAGTCATATAATATTTTACACTATCAGCAATAATTCAGATTTAGATACATGAATTTAACAATGCAATTTAGATATTTGAATAAAGTATTCGGATACATCATTCTTGGAAAGTTTTACAGAGAATTAGTTGTTTGGAAGCAAATATATTAATGAGAGGAGATTAGCCCTACATACATGTATTGAGGGACATCTTAATTCCTCTTTCTTAGGTGGTCTCATTTTCCATAGTGGCACTTGTGCCTAATGAAATGAACCTGAACCTCTGTCATAGTAGTTACTGTACTGCAGTGGTTCTCAAAGAATGGTCTGTGGACCACTAGTGATCCACAGCCACCTCCTAGGTGGTTTGCGGCTTGAGCTCAGTTCTCTCCCTCCTTTCCCATGCAGCGGGGAGCTCGTGCTGCTGCTCCAGCCTGGTGGTTGCCATGCAGCTGCGAAGCTGCAGCACCAGCTCCGGCTCTTGTGCGCCAGGCCCTTTTGAACGTCCTGAGCAGCTGCACTCAGCTGAGGCACAGTGTCTGGCCCGGCACAGGAGCTGGAGCTACGGATGCCAAGAAAGCTCAAGCTGCACTCCTCACCTCCTGCCTCCTCCCCACCCTGCGAGAGTCAGTCACCAGTGGTTGTTTACGGCAGCGTGGTGAGTGATTTGCACATGCTACCGGCTGCTCCTGATGCCTCTTCATAGAACCATAGGGCTGGAAGAGACCTCAGGAGGTCATCAAGTCCAGCCTCCTGCCCCAGGCAGGACTAATCCCAATTAAATCAACCCAGCCAGGGCTTTGTCAAGCTGAGACTTAAACACCTCTAAGGATGGAGACTCCACTACTTCCCTAGGTAACCCATTCCAGTGTTTCACCACCATCCTAGTGAAATAGTTTTTCCTAGTATCCAACCTCGACCTTTCCCACCACAACTTGAGACCATTGTTCCTTGTTCTGCCATCCTTCACTACTGTGAACAGCCTTTCTGCATCCTCTTTGGAACATCCCTTAAGGAAGTTGAAGGCTGCTGTCAAATCCCCCCTCACTCTTCTCTTCTGCAAACTAAATAGACCC